GAACGTTTATCAATGATTGGTGTTTTTGAACTTGGCGGTGTGAAAGCTTACACATTACAAAATTAATTTCGAAAATAGTAAATACTTATTGCAGTAATATACAATTAGAACTTTTAGCTGTTACATGACTAGATATAGTTGGACCTACAATATTTAAACACATTAATTAAAGATTTTTGTAATTTATATTTCTGCATGTAAAATTCATATACATACTGGCAAATCTATGAAGTGGAAATGACACGTCGCTATCATCTTCATTATCGTTACTGGAACTAATCCTCACCTTAAATTTCTTAGCGTTGTGGCTATTGTGGAAACCACCCACTGATTTTGGAGTTAAGTGGGTCCGCCGGTTGGCCGGGTGATCCCTGGCGAATTTTGTGTCTGGCGGCCGCTAGGTTTGTATCAATCGCCCCCAGTTCAGAGAGGCTGTCGTCGCGGGCGGCGAAAGTCGTGGCTGTGGACGGACTGGAGTGGGCCGGTTCTGGTCGTGATTTAGGGTCCAAATTCCTTGGTAGATATCCCCTGACGAGAACCCATTGTCCACGACGGAAGGGAGGCTGTCGTGCCTGTAGGGGAGGGAACAGATATCGAGGATTTAATGTGCGACTCGGTTGTTCGATCTCGGGACCCTCTCAACCCTTGCGACCAGGTTCTTGGCGGGTGTGGGCTGGTCGACCTTGGCCACCACTTTGGTCATTGCTCTTTGCCGCCCTTCGCCTTCCTAGGGGAGTGTGACCTTGTTGTCTTGAAGGCTTTCGCCCCCTCGGAACCCCCCCAACTTTGTCGCCACACTTGACCTTGGCCTTGGGTTTTCCGACTCGGATCCACGGGCTGTACTCCTGCTCAGAGTAATCAGTGTCGCGGACCTTTCTCACAACCCCATCAGCCTGACTTTGGTCTCTCGCCCTCAGCCGCCTGGTGCGGGGAGCACCATTCGACAGCCGTCCTGTCACCTCGCTCTCACCTGCTTACTTGACCAGGAGACCGCCGTTCACACAGCGTGTCTGTGGCTTTGCACCACCACTTTCCACGGTTTTTGAACCCGTGGGCTGCATCTCTACAGGTTCGGGCTTCTCAGCGTACGGCTCCTTTACAGCGTCGGACTCGTTATCGGATGAACGAGCCCTTTGCTGGCCGGTAGCGCCACCATGACATCCCACACCTGCGTAGGGATACCTCTCTCTCGCTCGTTGATTCAAAGCAATTGCTTGATAACGACTTTGGGGGGGCTGCTCTGTAACCCCTATCCCTACCGGCTCTGCCCTATCCGAAGGGGCTGAAGCAGTAACCTTCGTTGTCTCATTTACCATAATCAATTGCATTGTTTTTGGTTGTTCTTAGGCCTTGCAAGCATTTTTAAGGTGTCGTCCGCTAACAAGGTCGTTCCCACCCACCACGACAATATGATTTATTTAATTGAAATATATACATAGTGCCGCTGCTCCACCTTTCCGTACTACAGCGGCGGTCTTTCGAAATACTTTATATACAAAAGATATATATGCGCCATTTTAATATGAGAATAAAACTCGATATAACTACAATCTCTATTTTATCCCCTCCGTCTGCTCTTTCCACGGGAGAAGAAACATCTGAACCTTCGAAAGAAATTTTATTATTTATATTACACAGTAAACAATTTATTGGTGAGCAGAGAGGGCCTGCATGAATTATACAAAAAACGACTTTTCCACATAATTGGAACTTACTTATTGAAAATAGAATGCAAATAAATTTATTATACAAATGTCTTGCATATGCGTATCGGAGCATCCGATGAAAATTAAAACATCGCATATGAAAATGTTTAATAGAGAGAAAATATACCTACAATGAAAATTAGAGTTGGCTTCTGTACGGCCTGGGAATATATACATGTGGTCCAACATTCGTTGCAAGAGTTGGGAAAAACCCAGAAAAACCCAACCAGATCACAATGAACTCTTATTCTTTTCGTTGCCTCGGCTCCAACACAATAGCAATATTTCGCCCAATTAAATGAAGATGACGCAATAATTAAAAAAGAAAAAGGGCATTTGATATACCGTGTTATTGCTTTCGTTTTAGCACCGAAGCACCGCCGTAGGTATACAAATGTATTTATAATACAAGGAGACGTGTAATGATATATACAAAATTATAAAAACATTTCGAACCGAAGTTCACATCTGGATAAGAGGATCTTTTACCGAAGGTGGTGTTGATCGTCAAACCAGGGTGATATTCCCACAAAGCTGGATTTGTGCACTTAGGTTTTATTCTTAATACACTTACATTGAAGCATTTAGTATTAAGTCTTATTCCACACAAAACCAACGGGTAGCGTTTCTCACTAAGCGACGAGATCACTAACGCTCACAAAGAGGGGTTAATTCCAACGTCACGAGAAACCGAGTTTCACAATGATAAAGAATAACATCAAATACTTTTTAATTAATGCTTTATTGTATTCAGCCAAAGTAGAACTGACTTAACTAGGTTAGGAGCGGTACTTACATAGGTCACCTAATTACTTAGTGAAAGTTGGTAAAGTTGCAGACGTAACATTCCCCCTAACTTAAGAATTTTGCATATACAATGAAAAATTATGTGCAAAATTTAAAAAGAAATAACTAAATCTAACATAAGAAGATACAATACATTATAGTTATATGCTAAAGGTAACTCATTTTGATTAAATATAACATTTTATCAGTCTTTAATATCAATATATATATATATAGTAAAAGCGTTTTATCAAAATCTTTCTTCAGTCTATTTTGTTTTATATAATACGAAGTTTGGGGTCCATTCGCAGGTGAATTTCGTATTTGGGATCTGATTCTTCTTCCAGTATGGTGGCCATTGGAGTAGTTACTGCTGGAGCGGTTGCAGCGTATGACGGGGGTTCAATTGTTGAAGTCCCAGTAGGAAGGTCTTCTACTTATCACTGTCTTTGGCCTATTTGTATTGTTGATGTTTATACAAAGGTTCGGACACCCCCATGAGAAAGGGTTGAAGTTGAACGATAATTGGCATTTGTTACATAAGCAACAGGTGGTGATGGTAATAATACTTAAAAGTCTAATTGCAGACCAAAACCATCCTTTGGGCGTGATTGAGAAGAGTGGTTTAAGTTTTTCTTTTAAGATATCTTCTCTGAGATTCTCCAGCCGGTGTTTATTGAAGACCAAATTTTCTTGATTCAGGTCGTGCATCTTCAATGGATTTATCGATATCTTTTCTGCTTCTTGTTGTTCTTTTATGCAGCAGTCGTACGGGATGGGAATACCAATCATAGTGGAATTGGTTGTATTACTGGGTTTCCTTGGAGGTTCTATTTTGAATCCATTCGAAGTGTATCCAGAACATGGGGCCTCTAGGCGTAAGATACCAGTAGTCGGGAGTGCAACTTGCGGTATAGTTTTCCGTTGACATTTGTATGTGAACGATGCAGGTGCGGAGAGTAAGAATAGCCATCTATGACCATCCAAGGGTTGAAGATGATCGTCCTCTAAAGGAGTTACTAGGACGTCACATTTGCTTGACCATTTCCCTCTTATAATCAAATTAGTGTCACACGTGGAATGTCTGTCTAGCGTTTGATATTTTAAAGTTATACCAAAATAATTGTTATTAATGGTCATTAAGTCTTGAAGAGACGTTAATGCGATAACAAGTGACTGTGTAACGTCAAGAGCTAAATATGAGAAGTCAGGTAGCAAGACGTTGTAGTGGTCTTGAACTTTACTTTTAAAAGGTATTGAAAATATTCTGAGGAGGTTAAAGGCAGTTTTGTCGACAAGTGGAAATTTGAATAATACGATTAACTTTTTTGTCTTTTATAGAGGCACTTGTTTTTATTAATTTTTGGTATTTGAGAATTTCTTTAAGCTCGAAAGAGAAAGGAAAGGTAATGCCAGCTTTTGCATTTGCCTGCTTTAAAATCTGTGATTTATTAATGTCTTTAAGGATTTCGAGGGGTAGAATATTTTCTTTGCTATAAAGCATATAAGAGAGTATCTAAATGATATAAAAACGGAGTTCATTTATGGCTTCAGTTAAAACTAGAGCA